TACCTGTAGTTAGGCGCTGCCCTGTAGTCAGAGTGGGGTTAGCGTACCTGTAGTTAGGCGCTGCCCTGTAGTCAGAGTGGGGTTAGCGTACCTGTAGTTAGGCGCTGTTCTGTGGTCAGAGTGGGGTTAGCGTACCTGTAGTTAGGCGCTGCCCTGTAGTCAGAGTGGGGTTAGCGTACCTGTAGTTAGGCGCTGCCCTGTAGTCAGAGTGGGGTTAGCGTACCTGTAGTTAGGCGCTGCCCAGTAGTCAGAGTGGGGTTAGCGTACCTGTAGTTAGGCGCTGCCCTGTAGTCAGAGTGGGGTTAGCGTACCTGTAGTTAGGCGCTGCCCTGTAGTCAGAGTGGGGTTAGCGTACCTGTAGTTAGGCGCTGTTCTGTGGTCAGAGTGGGGTTAGCATACCTGTAGTTAGGCGCTGCCCTGTAGTCAGAGTGGGGTTAGCGTACCTGTAGTTAGGCGCTGCCCTGTAGTCAGAGTGGGGTTAGCGTACCTGTAGTTAGGTGCTGCCCTGAAGTCAGAGTGGGGTTAGCGTACCTGTAGTTAGGCGCTGCCCTGTAGTCAGAGTGGGGTTAGCGTACCTGTAGTTAGGCGCTGCCCTGTAGTCAGAGTGGGGTTAGCGTACCTGTAGTTAGGCGCTGCCCTGTGGTTAGAGTGGGGTTAGCGAACCTGTAGTTAGGCGCTGCCCTGTAGTCAGAGTGGGGTTAGCGTACCTGTAGTTAGGCGCTGCCCTGTAGTCAGAGTGGGGTTAGCGTACCTGTAGTTAGGCGCTGTTCTGTGGTCAGAGTGGGGTTAGCGTACCTGTAGTTAGGCGCTGCCCTGTAGTCAGAGTGGGGTTAGCGTACCTGTAGTTAGGCGCTGCCCTGTAGTCAGAGTGGGGTTAGCGTACCTGAAGTTAGGCGCTGCCCTGTAGTCAGAGTGGGGTTAGCGTACCTGTAGTTAAGCACTGCACTGTAGTTAGGAGCTTCTCACCAGAGCGGTCAGTCCAGCCAGAGGGAGGTTCTCACCAGAGAGTGTCTGAGCCGGTGTTGCATGCACCACACCATCTGCAGCAGCGCCAGCACTGTCAGCACCAGCAGCAGCACTGCATGCGCCATCACCATCTCTACCAGTGGCAGCAGAGCCGTTACCAGCAGCACTCGCACCCTCTTTGACCCACTGCATTCTTGCTGTTGGGAAGGAAAGGGCAGAAGAAGGGGAAGAGCAGAGGGACAGGTGAGGCAGAGCGAGGGAATGAGTCAGCGAACGGAAGGCAAAAAGCGCCAGCAGCAGTCTCCATGAACCAATGCGTGAGAGAGAAACGAGAAAGCAAACTAGTGGTTGGATGGGCCACTATCGAGTGGAGATTCGCTCTTCAAGTGTCAGCTTGGGGAGCTATCAGCTGGAGAGGGTCCATTGGTGAGAACGCTGGCAGCAGCTAGAGGAGGAACGAGGGGCGGCGGGAGGAGGGCAGCAGGCGGGTGGAGAAGATGGGTGCAAGGCGCTGCTCCTCCCATGCTGCCCCCAGTGGTTGCAGTTGCAGCAGCACCCCTCGCAGCGACACCGCTCTCAGGAGTAACACCTCCCATGCTGCCCTCAGTGGTTGCACTTGCATCAACAACCCCCTTCCAGCGGCTGCCGCCCCTTGCTGCTCGCACTCCCTTTGGCCTGGGACAAGCGATAGAGTCGAGGATAGGGATAAGGACACGGAATGCAGGAAGTAAGTCCAAGGACGGAAGGAAGCAGTGGAACAGGAATTGCACGTGACTAAAAAAACAAGGCAGGGAAAACAGAGAGGCGATGGTAGCACACAGCACTAGGGCAGCGAGCTTGCAGGCAAGGGGGACGAGGTAAGGAAGAGACGCGGGCATGAGTATGAATGCATTCTAGTCTACCCTCCTACGACTCTAGTATGAGCTCAAGCTACCCCAGTGCCATGCGCTACCATCGCCAAAACGACGCTCATCTCTCATTCAAATTTTGACGCTCATCTCACGTCTCTCTTTTCGTTTTTCCGAACATGCAGTGAGGAAAAGATGATGTACACAAGCGGGCATCAATTAACATGAAGCAGAAACGGTAAGGTTGGGAGAGGGAACTTAGCCGCATGGGGGTGCTTGCAGGACAGTGGCGTCAGGCTTCCAGGAGGCTCGCACACAGCTGTGACTGCCTGCCGTGCGTCATCCCACTGCCCTCCCTCCCCGCACCACGCTGCCATAGCACCGGACGAGAGGGGTGGAGCAATGGAGAGCAAGAGGACCGAGCGGGGGATAGGAACCCAAGTAGTCAGTGGAAGCAAGAAAATAACAAGAACGATCGAGTAACGGAGACAAAAGTTGAAGATGAAAAGCATGTGGCATTGTAACGCTGTGAAAGGGGAGGCGATGGTAGCACACAGCACTAGAGCGGCGAGCTAGCAGGCAAGGGGAGACTGGGTAAGGAAGGGACGCCGGCATGTGTATGAATGCATTCTACTCTACACTACTACGACTCTAGTATGAGCTCAAGCTGTCCCAGTGCCATCTGCTACCATCGCCAAAACGACGCTCATCTCTCATTCAAATTTTGACGCTCATCTCACGTCTCTCTTTTCGTTTTTCCTAACATGCAGTGAGGAAAAGATGATGTACAAAAGCGGGCATTGATAAACATGAAGCAGAAACGGTAAGGTTGGGAGAGGGAACTTAGCCGCATGGGGGTGCTTGCAGGACAGTGGCGTCAGGCTTCCAGGAGGCTCGCACACCGCTGTGACTGCCTGCCGTGCGTCATCCCACCGTCCTCCCTACCAGCACCACGCTGCCATAGCACCGGATGAGAGGGGTAGAGCAGAGGAGAGCAAGAGAACCCAAGTAGTCTGTAGAAGCAAGAAAGTAGTGAAACGCTTGCAAGGAGGCAGAAATCACAAGAACAACTGAGAAACGGAAACAAAAGCTGAAGATAAAAAGGGCACAGTGACGCAGTGAATGGGGAGGCGATGGTAGCACACAGCACTAGGGCGGCGAGCTAGCTGGCAAGGGGGGACTGGGTAAGGAAGGGACGCGGGCATGTGTATGAATGCATTCTACTCTACCCTCCTACGACTCTAGTATGAGCTCAAGCCACCCCAGTGCCATGTGCTACCATCGCCAAAACGACGCTCATCTCTCATTCAACTTTTGACGCTCATCTCACGTCTCTCATTTCGTTTTTCCGAACATGCAGTGAGGAAAAGATGATGTACACAAGCGGGCATTGATAAACATGAAGCAGAAGCGATAAGGTCGGGATATGCGAAGGGAGAGGGAACTTAGCCGCATGGGGGTGCTTGCAGGACAGTGGCGTCTGGCTTCCAAGAGGCTCGCACACTGCTGTGACTGACTGCCGTGCGTCATCCCACCGCCCTCCCTACCAGCACCACGCTGCCATAGCACCGGATGAGAGGGGTGGAGCAAAGGAAAGCAAGAGGACCAATAGGAACCCAAGTCGTCAGTAGAAGCAAGAAAGTAGTGAAATGCATGCAATGAGGCAGAGATAACAAGAACGAATGAGTAACGGAAACGAAAGTTGAAGATGAAAAGCACATGGCACTGTGACACAGTGAAAGGGGAGGCGATGGTAGCACACAGCACTAGGGCGGCGAGCTAGCAGGCAAGGGGGGACTGGGTAAGGAAGGGACGCGGGCATGAGTATGAATGCATTCTACTCTACCCTCCTACGACTCTAGTATGAGCTCAAGCCGCCCCAGTGCCATGCGCTACCATCGCCAAGCGTTGCTCATCTCTCACTCGACTCTTTTTCGATACATGCTGTGAAGGAAAAACGTGTACCAGATGTGGTCAATGATAAACACGAACCAGAAGCGGTAAGGATGACAAGGGGAAAGGGAGAGGGGACTTAGCCGTACGGGTGGTGCTCGCAAGCGACAGAAGCAGCGAGGCAGCGGTCCAGCAGCAGAATGCACTCTTCCCACTTTAGCGTGATTTTGACCGCCCTCGCATTCGCCTCCGGCCAGAGTTTAGATCGTAACCGTGAGAAATCATCACCATTTCGATAGTCAGCGTCGGCAAGCGTCGCTTCAGTTGTCACCGTGAGAAGTGACCATCTCGATAGTCAGCGTCGGCAAGCGTCGCTTCAGTCGTCACCGTGAGAAGTGACCATCTCGATAGTCAGCGTCGGCAAGCGTCGCTTCAGTTGTCACCGTGAGAAGTGACCATCTCGATAGTCAGCGTCGGCAAGCGTCGCTTCAGATGTCACCGTGAGAAGTGACCATCTCGATAGTCAGCGTCGGCAAGCGTCGCTTCAGTTGTCACCGTGAGAAGTGACCATCTCGATAGTCAGCGTCGGCAAGCGTCGCTTCAGTTGTCACCGTGAGAAGTGACCATCTCGATAGTCAGCGTCGGCAAGCGTCAATTCAGTTGTCACCGTGAGAAGTGACCATCTCGATAGTCAGCGTCGGCAAGCGTCGCTTCAGTTGTCACCGTGAGAAGTGACCATCTCGATAGTCAGCGTCGGCAAGCGTCGCTTCAGTTGTCACCGTGAGAAGTGACCATCTCGATAGTCAGCGTCGGCAAGCGTCGCGTCAGTCGTCGCTGTAAGAAGTCACCATCTCGATAAAAACCGTCAATAAGGGTCGCTTGTCGTCACCGTAAGAATTCGCAATCCTGCTCGTCACCGTCGGAAAACGTCACTTCACTCGTCACCATCGAGAAGCGTCGATTTTATAGTCACTTTGAAGAGTCGCTTTAATCGTCACCGTGGGAAATCGCAGTCCTCGTCACCGACGGAAAACGTCACCACTAGAAATTATCACCTCAATTGTCACCACTAGGAATCATCACCTCAATCGTCACCACTAGGAATCATCACCTCAATCGTCACCGTCAGAAATCGTCTGTTCGCTCGTCAGCGTCAGAAATCGTACTCTTGATCGTCTCCGTCAGAAGCGGCCGTCCCTGACCGTCTCAACCATCGCCGTTGAAAATGGCCGTGTCGTTCGTCACCGTCAGGAAACATCCTCTCAATCAGCACCGTTAGATGGCGATGTCTCGCTACTCGAAGTCCGAAGTACTCATCGCTAACCCCGTACAATCATTCAGCGCTGTCTTCGCCGTGTGAAACAGAGTCACCGGCAGGATATCGGCCTCGGTCATCACCAAACCAGATTGAACCTTTCTCGCTGCCGGAGAGCGGCGACGCCTCGCTACTCGAGGAGCGTAAGATCGGAAAACTATGTTGCCTCGCTTCGCCTGCTCAGTGGCCTGAGCAGTGCTCTCTTTGGTCTGCTCCCACGTTTTCTGAGCACTTTCCTGGGCACGACCAAGCCCTTCAGAGGCACCCTGCTTCGTCTCCTCCATCTTCCTCCCCGCAACATCACCAGCTTGCGCGGACTTCTCGCGAGCAGTCTCGGCAGCGCGTCCCGAGGTGTCCTTCATCTGCTGCCCGGTCTCCGAAAGACCCTGCCTGCCCTGCTCCATCTTCGCCTGAGTGGCCTTGCGAGCTTCCTCAGCGCCCGCTCCAAGCTGCCCACGCGCCTCCTCAGCGTGACCGGTAGCTTTCTGTAAACTCACACAAAAAACACGTTCAAAGACACTTAACAAGAGAGGGAGGAAGCGAGGCTGGATATCGAGGTGAAATCCAGGGATTCTAGATGGATTCAGAGTGATGAATAAGGATTCACAGAAATGAGATCAGGACCCATTACCATCTCCCCTGCCCAGGTGCAGGCCGCCGTACCGTCGGCGGACGATGGGGATAGGCATTTAGCGGAAGATACGACTCAGGAAACTTCGAGTTGAGTTTTGCGAGAAGATCCTCCTCGGAATCTCCGCAGCTCGGCAATCCCGTAGTTCCGCCGTTTGCGCGGGAATTGTCTGTCAGGAGGGCATGCTTCTGACACGGCGCCGTGATATACATTCGTATGGCCCATCACCACACCATCTCTGTGATGTGATGGTTGTCGTCGATGCTTCTCATTTAGGAACACACCATTTGATCTAACGGCCGAGAGAAACTTTTTGCGATGCGATGCGTTGCTCCCTCCAGGCCAAAGTTTGAAAGTGATGTGTTGCCGAAGCATGTTTGTATCGAAACTATGGCAACCTCATTCACCTACACCTGATAAATCCCAATCAAATTAATACAGATTGACTTCCAGCAAAGTTTCAGCACCCAAGGTCCGTATGCAAGCTGAACGGGTGAGGGTGTGCGTGTACCCCTCGGTATGCACAAGAATGGGCATGGCGTTACTAGTGTGCTGGAAAAAAACTCTCAGTTTGCAAGGCAACATAGGGAAGATACCTACGCCAGTCGTGCGTGCCGTTTCATCACGCAGCTTCGCATTCCACGGCATCCTCCACTCCACTCCTCTCCCACCACTACTACTACCGTATCTTATTCCAAAATTTCATGTGCACGATTGGTTGCCTGTGCATGCATGTGTACGGTCTTGTTTGGCTAATCGGCTCCCATCAGGAACTTCTTTCCGACAAGCCCATGGAGCTCACGAAGTGCCCACTCTGCACCATTTTCAACCCACTCTATCAAACACATGTCATGTAAATATACTCCATACACCAACAATCACATTGGTTATTCAGTAACCAAGCTCTTCTGGAGTGTAATTAAGCAGGGTCTGCAGCGCGCTGGGTGCAATCTTCCTAAGAACGAGGAAGCAGGAGTTCTGGTGGCCGCCCCAGGAGCACTTGGAGTCCCACTTGACAGACGTGAGGAAGTGTGGGGTGAGCTGCTCCCTTGTGTACTCCACAGGGTGCGGTCCTCCTGACCACATCGCCCATGTGGGTCCTCTCCTTGCCACATGCGCTGGATCACGGATCTAGAGGAGGGGAATGGAGGGAGGGAGAAGGGAGAGTGGGAGGTGGGTGAGGGGGGAAAGAGACATGGGCAGGGACACGTAGGGATCTTGAAGGGCGACATGGGGGAAACGGAGGAGAGAGAGCGAGAGGGGATACGTAGGGAGAGGGACAGGGGCAGGTCATAAAGCAGGAGCAGGGAGGAGTGGTGGTTCAGTGGTGGTGAGGGGGGTAGGGATGGAGAGGGATTGTACAGTTTTAAGGTAACTCAGCGCATTTGAATGAGACAGCACAGCACGATGCCACACATTTGAATGAGACAGCACAGCACGATGCCATGAGCATCTGTATGGGGAGTACCTTGAGTAATGTTTGGAAATAATGCTCATCCAAATAACAGTGCCTGTGCCAGTTGTCACCCTGGAACCGAGGGAAGAAATGATAAATGGGGACACACGGAGGGCAGGAAAGATGAACATCAGTCATTTTTGCTGATTCAATGAAAAGAAATAATAGTCGAACAGAAGGGTCTGCACCCATAAACATCACCATACCACGTATCCACACACACGCCACCCCACTCCCCTGTGCTCACCTTGCACCATCTGGCGAGGGTGGGGTAGATCGTTGTGTCCGTGGCAGCAAGGAAGGCGTGGTGCCATGTCAGCGCCCACCACTGCTCAGGATAAGACGGGCAAAGAAGCAGTCACAAGTTGAACGTAAGGAATAGAATAGAAGCAAGGGGAAGACATCTGAGAACCCTTGGAGCATGGGTATCGTGAAAAAAGGACTGATTACAGGGAAATTTCAGGATTAAATGGAGTAAAGTATGGAGTATACCTGAGAGCCCTTGGTCCACTGGCTCCTTTGCACGTGCGGCTGCATGCGACTGCTGTAGTGCCCCATGCAGTTCCAGTCGTTGTTGCACGCACTGCATTGGGGCGAGAGTTGAGAGGCGAGAAACGAAGAGCATGGGGTGAGTAAAGACACTGAGGGCGGAGAAAATGGGAGAAGCAATAGAAATGAAGATGGATTTGTTAAAAGAAGAGGCGTGGGTAAGCGAAGTCCTAGGATGGCTGTGCGCGCAGGCAGGCATTGAGGTGCATGAAGTAGCAGACACCCTCAAGTAGCAGGCATTGAGGTGCATGGACACGTTCCTTCACCCACCCACCTGTGCAGCAGACTCTGGTTTTCCGCCATCAAGTAGCGATAGGTGAAGGGGAAGTCGTGCAGAGGCATGCAGCTGTCGGGGTGGGATGAAGGGTGGAGGGCAAGGAGGTTGATGAAGGGTGGGTGATGGGGAAGTCGTGCAGAGGCATGCACCTGTCAGGGGGATGGGGCGAGAAGGACACCCAAACCATGAATTTGGCGGCTGAGAACAACTTCTAAATCGTAGAGTTTCCCTCCCTTCGCCACTTACCCGCTGACCCACCCACCGACCCATCCACGCACCCACCCAGTCACCCACCCACCCCATCGAATCCAATCCCACCCCCTCATGCACGACTCAGAGCCAATGAGGAATCGCTTGTTGGCCGGATCAGGCAGTGCGTTCGCCAGGAGGCATCTCACCCACCCACCCACCCATCCCATCCCATCCGACCCACCCATTCATTCACTTCATCCCTCCTATCCCACCCCCTCACGCACGACTCAGAGACGATGAGGAATCTCTTGTTGGCCGGGTCCAGCAATGCGTTCGCCAGGAGGCGTCGCTCTGCCGCCACCATGGAGGGGTCGCCCCACTGCACCTTCTCACTGGGAATCTCCCGCGCGTAGAACACCGGCGACGAGTCCAAGGGATACCGGAACCCCGGCGCTGCATGCACGTAGATAGAGTACCGCCGCTCGTGGCCCTGAGGGGGGAAATAAGGGGTAGATGGAGCAGCGGCGCGACAGCCGAGGTGTAGGGGATGTTGAGGCAGGCGCAGATGGTGGAAAAGAGGGGGGGGGAGAGTGTGTGGTGGCAGTGACAGTAGGGTTTGCAGGTCGCACCGAAGGTAAGACAAGACAATGGAACATAATGGGGGGTGCGAAGGTAACCTCGGATCATGCAGCAGCATGGGATCTCACCTGAAGGTACCTCTCCCATAGTTTACTAAGAGGCATGGGCCCTCTCATTTGCAAAAATAACTCTGCTTTCACTCACTTGCAGCAGCAAGGAAGCTCACCCGTAGGTACCTCTCCCATAGTCTACTAAGAGGCATGGGTCCACGTGTCAGGAATAGGAACGCGACGCGGTCCTCCTCCCCCTGACCGCTCCCCTTGGGCTGTCCCTCGGGGTACAGCCTCCGCACCCTATCAAACAACGCCACGTCAGCGGCGGATAAGACCGGCTCGTCCATGCTTCCGGGCGGTGGGCCTTGTCTCATCTCCTCGTCGGAGCATCTGTGTCCGGTAAGGTTGACGCAGGGAGACTCGTCCTTGGCTAGCAGGCGGAGGTACGCTGGTGTGGGATCGGTCGGAGATCCCGCGAGGGACGGAGGGATGGAGGAGGAGGAGGAGGAATCATTTCCAGGTAATGTTGAGTGGGAAGAGGATGAGTCTGTGTGTGGGTGTGTCGTCGAGCGACCGTAACTGTCGCGGGTTTCGCCCGCATCTAGAGCGGATCCTGAGCTCCCTAGGCTTCGCAAATGCCTTCGCAGCGACGGCGAAAGCAGCACGGTAACCGCGAGAAACGCGGATATACCTAAGGCGACGGGGAGGATGCTACGTTTGGTGCTACGGCCCTTGGGATTCGCGCGCCTTGGAACACTGCTAGCGGAACCGGCGCTCCCTGCTAAGACTCCTCCTTTCGCGACGACAGCCGGCATTATTAATCGCCTCTGAGTTTCCTCACAAACGTTAACGAAATCGAGGGAGATTTAAACCGACCATCGAAGACTATGGCGCTAATCTCTCGCGAGGACTGAAGATCGAGGCGACGCGGAAGCTCCTTAAAGCATGACTGCAACGTTCTGACAATAGGGACGTCTTTATGAAACTCAGGCTGCAGCCGCTTCGGCACGAAATGCTGCGCACATTCCGGAGCTACTGTGTTTTGCTTTTCGGAATGCCATAGATCCTTGGAAAAGCTCCCGCAGCAAGCTGATTCAAATCAGACACCTGACGTGACTCACGGAATATGACTGGTCCAGATCAGCCTAGCACCGCCAAACAGAAGCTGTCAGAGTGTCAGAAGAAGCTTTCATCCACCCGCACTATTCTCGCAAATTTTCAAATACACATTTGAGCTATAGCAAGTTTGTATTCGTGTATTGATTGATACGACGCCAGATTGAATATTTTGAAATCGGTTCGTTCCAGAAACGCGGATCTGTTACACTACCTTGGGATCTCCTCCAAACTCTTGCCAGTGAGGTGAAGCGTGTGGGTGAAGCTCCCCTCCCCTTCACTGAAACAGCACCTTGTTCACAGAAATCTCCTGAACTTCCCATTTTCCGCCATTTCTGTTTCTACCACTCACCATGATCTGAGATGCTCCATTCCAGAGCCACATCAGTCGTTCGTCCCGGGAAGATCCTTTCCCGTTATCTCTCGAATTATCGATCGTTTTCGGAGGAGGTATTTTCTGACTTCGGGACAACTTGCGTAACCAGAAGGCTTGATCTTGAAAGACTTGCGATGCTTCACGTAAGCGTACCATCTAACGCGCTCTCGTGCCGTCCGTTGCGCAGCCTACACAGCACTCCCGTCGCTAACGCGAACCGTAACGACAAACGAGGATGCCACGTGACGAACCTGCATCAGTCCCCCTCTCGTTCATTCTCCACGTCAGCCACTTTAACCTCGCTCCAACCTTCCAACCGTAGGCCTTCCCGTCGTCTCCTCCCAGGCCTTTCGTCCTCCGTCGTAGCCGTTCAACTCCCAATCTCAGGCTTGTCACCGTCATTCGTAGTTCGCGCTCTCCCTCCGTCACTTACTGGCCTGTCCACGTCTGGCCGGAGTCTCTTTACCTCGGGATTCCCTTCCTTGTCGAAATCTCGCCGCGATGAGCGGAAGCTGGGGATCGCACCAGGTGGGGTAGCATGGCGGGTGCGCGAACAGGGTATTGCGGGGGATGCGGGGACGAGTGTAGCGACGGTGGTAGTTGAGGCAGAGGCGGAGGCGGAGCGGAGGGAGGGGCTGGGGGGAGCGGAAGAGGAGAAGGCGGAGAAGCTACAGTACGTGCCGTTGCACACACACAGCGACTTCAGCCTTTTAGACGGAGCCAGCCAGGTGCGTGCGTGGGCCCTTGTGGCCCCTTACAACGAGTAGAACGAGTATCGCGAGCAACACGTCTGATTTGATCTTGGCGCTTGTCATTCCCGCGTCCTGATTTCCCCCATCCTCTTGCTCCTGCTGTATACCCCACGTGATGGCAGTTGAAGGGACTGGTGGCACGGGCCAAGGAGCTCAACATGCCTGGCATTGCGCTCACTGACCATGGCGGTGAGTTTGCTGTACGCCTCCTCTCCCTGCCCCAACACCAGCTCACTGAACCCCCATCCCTGCTCGCATCCCTATCCCTTTTCCCAGTCCCTGTCCTCGTAGGCGATTCTATCACCTGAAGGCCATGTGATTTTCCGCAGGCCATGGCGGAATCAAATGTCATTGTCGGAACAAAATGTACGTATTGGGTGGTTTTTAAGGTGCCTCGCGAATCCCTCCCCATCCCCTCCCGCTGCCCACTCCAGTGATGTACGGTGCGCTGCAGCTGGTGCGCATGTGCGAGGCGGAGGGCTTAAAGCCCGTGATCGGCAACGAGATGTACCTCGTGCATGACGAGGGCGCTCCCGCCGCCCTGCTGCAGGCCGCACGTGTTAGGGTTGGTTCGCCCAACCACGGAACCTACGGCGAAAGCTTCTACGACGGCGGAATGACGGCGAAATGGAAGCATGTGGATGATTCTAGGTGAAACGGTGGAAATCGGCCTACGGTGGAGAATGGAAGCTACGGCGTGAGAAGCGAGAGAGAAATCGGGAAGAAACTAGAGAAATGGAGGAAGAAGAGTGAAGAAGTATCGAGATTGAAGTTGGCGAGGGGAAATTGTGGTTCGAGCTCGAGGCGTGTTCGAGAAGGTTCCAGATTCGGTCTTGAGGAGTGTTCACCGAATTCGGTTCGGTTGCGTGTGCGACTCGGGGTGAAACGAGGCGCACGCGGTTACTTGGGAAACAAGTGAAGTTACGAATCGCATTTTGTGTCTTGCCTGACTATAAACCTGTTTGTACTCATTCTTGAAATACAACATTGGACAACATTGATCAGTTGGTGATTCTGAAAATTGCTGAAGTGTGTATTGACAACTTCAAGCAGAGCTACGCATATCGTTGGATTCGGGAGATCGTGTAGAACACGATAAGCAATAGCAAGTAGACTATTTCCGACTAAGGTGTTTACGATCCTAAGAACCGGTATCAGAGCTTGGCGAACGGTCGCGTCGGTCGTCGTAAATTCACTTGGTGCGCTAAGTGAAATTAGTGGAGAAGAGGAGTCGTTCACGCCTACGCTATGGGAGACGAGGCGAGTTCGGGTTCCAGTGTAAGTCTTGGAGACCCGCAGTTGAAGGCTCTTCTCGAGGCCCTTGCGAGTGGCCGATTGGTGGCGAAACCGACGATCGGGCTCAGTGAAGCCCAGCGCTTCAACGGGAGCAACTACAACGTGTGGCGGAAGAAGTTCATTCGAAGGGCAGAGGAGGTGGACCTCTTGCCGTACTACCGTCCCGACGAGGAGACGATGGAGGGAGTTGCGCCTTCCACGATGGATACGAAGGAGAAAATAGCGGTGTTCAAGAAACAAAGTAAGCAAGCGTTCTTTCAGCTTTGTCACTCAGTTGCCGATGGAATCGCAGTGGATTTGGACCAGTTTGCAGGGGAGCTGAACTCTGCACAGCGAGCGTGGGAGTACCTGGAGTCCACGTACATGGGTACGAACGATGTCAACAAGAAGGCGATTAGGAAGCAACTGCTGATGCTGAGCATGGAGAAAGGCGAGAAAATCATCACCTACATCAACAGGGCGAAAAGCTACAACGACGATTTGCGGGTGATGGGAGCCGCGGAGACGGAGCATGAGATGATTGACTATATCATCCAAGGCCTTCCTAAGGAGTGGGAATCCGACATCGGTATGTTTACGTACCAACCGCCGGAGAGTTTGACGAAGCTGCAGGAGATTCTACAGTCGCTTGAGACGATGAAGGAGATGAGGAAAAAGAAAGCGGCAGCAGCAGCTAAGGAATTCGACGAGGAAAGGCCGGCTATGGTGAATGCAATGAAGGCGTTTGGAGCGTGCTACCAGTGTGGAAAAAGGGGGCATAAGGCGATAAACTGCTACGAAAACCCGCGAAGCAGAAACTACAAGGGCAAAGCGATGGAGAACGATAAAGGAGAAAATGAGGGAGCGGAGTGGCAGCATAAACGAGTTTTTGGCGGCAAGTGCGATTATTGTGGGCGCTATGGGCATCGTGCCGCAGAGTGCTACTCCAATCCGAACAGCAGGAGCTACAAGGGTCCGTCGCAGCAGAGGAATGTGGCGGCTAAGGCGAATGTAGCAGAAGCGAACGAGGATGATATGATCCTTGGAGGAGCGCATCGTGCGAACGTGGTGCGTTTACCAAAGGAGGTTCGGCAGACGGACGATCATGAGAAGACGGCATGGTTCATGGACAGCGGATGCACGCGTCACATGACATTCAGGTCAGATTGGAAGGAGAACGTGAGGGAGTCGAGTGAGGATTATATACTGCAAGGTAACAGTGGGAAGTTGCCAGTGACAGGAGAGGGTGACGTGGTGCTGCAGAGTCCGTATGGAGAGATGAGACTGGAGAATGTGCTGCTGGTTGAGGATTTGAAGGTGAACTTGGTCAGTCAGTCACAGCTTGATGACTTGGGGTGCAAGATATTCTATGACAGTGGTGAGGTGACTGTGTTTGGTCCTGAGTGGGAGAAGTATGCTGATGGTTACTTCAGTGACGGGTTCTATGAGATGAACTTGGTCGCGATGAAGGGCATAGATGAGTTCTATGAGGACCGAGAGTATCCTGAGATGGGAGAATTGGAGGAGTTATCGAATGAGGCTGATAAGAGCGAGGACACGGATGATACGGGAGCAAGTGTGGAGGCAGCAGAGAAGCAGGAAGAGGAGATAGTCACCATGGAGGCAGCAGCAGTGAATGGTGGAGATGGAGATGGTGTCAACACTTTTGCAGCAGCGATCGTGGTTGAAGATGAAGCAGTAAATGCGAAGTGTGTGGGAGTCGCTGTGAAAGGGGACATCATGGTGAAAGGATCAAAGGCGAATGCAACTGCAAAGGGGCGAGTGCTTACAAAGGAGGAACACGTTGAGGGGTATGAGACCCGAGAAGTGTTGAGTGTTAAGATGCCGAGGAGAAGTGAGAGGCTTAAGAAAATGTCTCAAGGTTTGGACGCCAAGGCGCTCAAATTCAAGACACGTAAGGAGAGGTTCAAGGTGGAGGACCTGCAGGAGAGCTTGAAGCCGACTTAGACCCTGTGAAGGCTACGAGGAACAGGGGAGCAGTGCGAATGGTGTTCGTGGTTGACGAACCACAGGGGAGATTGTTAGGGTTGGTTCGCCCAACCACGGAACCTACGGCGAAAGCTTCTACGACGGCGGAATGACGGCGAAATGGAAGCATGTGGATGATTCTAGGTGAAACGGTGGAAATCGGCCTACGGTGGAGAATGGAAGCTACGGCGTGAGAAGCGAGAGAGAAATCGGGAAGAAACTAGAGAAATGGAGGAAGAAGAGTGAAGAAGTATCGAGATTGAAGTTGGCGAGGGGAAATTGTGGTTCGAGCTCGAGGCGTGTTCGAGAAGGTTCCAGATTCGGTCTTGAGGAGTGTTCACCGAATTCGGTTCGGTTGCGTGTGCGACTCGGGGTGAAACGAGGCGCACGCGGTTACTTGGGAAACAAGTGAAGTTACGAATCGCATTTTGTGTCTTGCCTAACTATAAACCTGTTTGTACTCATTCTTGAAATACAACATTGGACAACATTGATCAGTTGGTGATTCTGAAAATTGCTGAAGTGTGTATTGACAACTTCAAGCAGAGCTACGCATATCGTTGGATTCGGGAGATCGTGTAGAACACGATAAGCAATAGCAAGTAGACTATTGCCGACTAAGGTGTTTACGATCCTAAGAGCACGGGCCCTCAGGGAGCAGGAGGAGCAGGGAGAGCAGGGGGAGATGCGGGAGGAGAGAGAGGAGAGTGGGATGGGAATGAGGATGGGAGGGGCGGAAGGGGAAGGGGAAGGGGATGGGGGAGGAGGACAGGGGGTGCTGGAAAGAGTGGGGGAGGTTGGTGGTGCTGTGAAGGGGAGTGGTAGTGGAGAGGGGGAAGTGGGGCAAGGATTAGGGGGGGAGGTCGCAGAGGGGCTGGCTGGGGAAGAGCAGGCAGGGGAGGCGGAGGCAGTTGGGGCAGGGAAGGCAGTTAAAGCACCCCCAGTCAAAAGGTGAGTGCGTGGGAGGGTGGATTGGCCCGAAGGGGAGAAATTATTAATTTCGTATTATGGTAGGGGCAGATTTTAAAGTAAGGCAGGTGCCCATGTGCCTCTCCCACGCATCCATCTCCCACGCATCCATCTCCCACGCATCCATCTCCCATGCATGCACCCCCCACCCCACAGATACCACCTGACTGTTCTAGCCAAGGACATGGAGGGATATCGTAACCTGGTGCCCCTCTGTGAGGTGCCTCAACATCCCCCATGCATCCACGTCCTCCCACCCCACCCCGCAGATACCACCTGACTGTTCTGGCCAAGGACATGGAGGGATACCGGAACCTGTTGGTGCTGCTTTGAGAGGCACTATAAAGTCCCCCATCTCCATGCATCTACATCCACCCCTCACCCCGCAGGTACCACCTGACGGTGCTGGCCAAGGACATGGAGGGGTACCGCAACCTGGTGCCACTCTGTGAGGTGCCTCAACATCCCCCATGCATCCACGTCCTCCCACCCCACCCCACAGGTACCACCTGACAGTGCTGGCCAAGGACATGGAGGGATACCGGAACCTGGTGCAGCTCACATCGATCTCGCACCTGCATGGCATGGTGGTGAGTCTAAGTCGCGTGCTTGTGAGAAGGAAGAAAGGAGTCATGGAGTGGGGAGCACGGAGGACTTGGGCAGGCATACTCTCATCTGCTTTTCTCTTTGAATCTCTGCCACTTTTGAGAATTCTCAAAAGTCGCACCAGTATACTTGGGCAGGTATACTCTCATCTGTTTTTCTCTTTGAATCTCTGCCTAAAAGCACACAGAGAGGTGCGCAGTGGGCAGTTTGATTTGACGAGATCTTGTGTATCTTCATGGTTCCACATGAGGCTCGATTGTGAAATCCCGTCAAGTGTTTTTCTGTTCCTGTTTCTTCTTTCTGCTTCATGGCAGGGTAATGGTGCAAGAGGGCGTCCGCGCATCACAAGGTGGGTGTGCATGCATGCATGCATCGTCAAGAGGCTGCTGACTGATACGCTTCTACATTCTCGAGTGCAAGAATGGTACTTGCTTTACCAAGCTGTTGGGCGACGCACCCTGCGTGTGTGTGACGGGGCTTTGGCCGATTGGCATCCTCTTTCCCCCACACCACCTCCCCCCATTCCGTTGCTGTTGCAGGGAGCTGTTGGCGCATCACAGCAAGGGGCTCGTCGTGCTGAGTGGATGCATGTCAGGAGAGGTACGCTGGAGCCTGGAGGCCTGAGTAGACCGAACGCTGTGCTGCCTGAGCATGCACATCATTCGTTAGGCATGCATGCGTGGATGTCATGACACATACATCACGCAACGGCCTCGTGTTATGCTTGATCTCCTCTTCTCTCTCCAATCTCCCAGGTATCCATACGCTCCTTGAGTTCACTCGATATCCGGTTCATCTCTCTCGCTTCCCCTCCTCTGCTCGTCTGGGAGTGCAGGTGCCGCGTGCCATCATGGCGGATCGCATGGACGAGGCTCGCAGCACAGTTGACTGGTGAGTGTTCCGCGCATCTGATGCGTGCATCATACCCCCACCGCACCGCCCTTCTCCTCTGCGCGTGCGTGAGCGCCAGGTGCCGCGTGCCATCATGGCGGATCGCATGGACGAGGCTCGCAGCATAGTTGACTGGTGAGCCCATCCCTTGCATGTGCTGCATCACATCACATCATGCTTGCAAGCAAGTACACGAATGACACATATACTGTCCAGAGGCGATGGCCAACCCATCACCTCTCTCCGCCTTGCATGCATGCAGGTACCAGTCAGTGTTTGGGTCAGACTACTACCTAGAGGTGATGGGCCACGCCTGTACAACATGCCACTCATGGTCCCCGGCTCCGTTCCGTTCCCCCCATGACCTCTCCACATTGCATGCAGGTACCAGTCAGTGTTTGGGTCAGACTACTACCTAGAGGTGATGGGCCACGCCTGTACAACATGCCACTCATGGTCCCCGGCTCCGTTCCGTTCCCCCCATGACCTCTCCACATTGCATGCAGGTACCAGTCAGTGTTTGGGTCAGACTACTACCTAGAGGTGATGTGCCACGCCTGTACAACATGCCACTCATGGTCCCCGGCTCCGTTCCGTTCCCCCCATGACCTCTCCACATTGCATGCAGGTACCAGTCAGTGTTTGGGTCAGACTACTACCTAGAGGTGATGGGCCACGCCTGTACAACATGCCACTCATGGTCCCCGGCTCCGTTCCGTTCCCCCCATGACCTCTCCACATTGCATGCAGGTACCAGTCAGTGTTTGGGTCGGACTACTACCTAGAGGTGATGGGCCACGCCTGTACAACATGCCACTCATGGTCCCCGGCTCCGTTCCGTTCCCCCCATGACCTCTCCACATTGCATGCAGGTACCAGTCAGTGTTTGGGTCGGACTACTACCTAGAGGTGATGGGCCACGCCTGTACAACATGCCACTCATGGTCCCCGGCTCCGTTCCGTTCCCCCCATGACCTCTCCACATTGCATGCAGGTACCAGTCAGTGTTTGGTTCGGACTACTACCTAGAGGTGATGGGCCACGCCTGTACAACATGCCACTCATGGTCCCCGGCTCCGTTCCGTTCCCCCCATGACCTCTCCACATTGCATGCAGGTACCAGTCAGTGTTTGGTTCGGACTACTACCTAGAGGTGATGGGCCACGCCTGTACAACATGCCACTCATGGTCCCCGGCTCCGTTCCGTTCCCCCCATGACCTCTCCACATTGCATGCAGGTACCAGTCAGTGTTTGGTTCGGACTACTACCTAGAGGTGATGGGCCACGCCTGTACAGCATGCCACTCATGGTCCCCGGCTCCGTTCCGTTCCCCCCATGACCTCTCCACATTGCATGCAGGTACCAGTCAGTGTTTGGTTCGGACTACTACCTAGAGGTGATGGGCCACGCCTGTACAGCATGCCACTCATGGTCCCCGGCTCCGTTCCGTTCCCCCCATGACCTCTCCACATTGCATGCAGGTACCAGTCAGTGTTTGGTTCGGACTACTACCTAGAGGTGATGGGCCACGCCTGTACAGCATGCCACTCATGGTCCCCGGCTCCGTTCCGTTCCCCCCATGACCTCTCCACATTGCATGCAGGTACCAGTCAGTGTTTGGTTCGGACTACTACCTAGAGGTGATGGGCCACGCCTGTACAGCATGCCACTCATGGTCCCCGGCTCCGTTCCGTTCCCCCCATGACCTCTCCACATTGCATGCAGGTACCAGTCAGTGTTTGGTTCGGACTACTACCTAGAGGTGATGGGCCACGCCTGTACAGCATGCCACTCATGGTCCCCGGCTCCGTTCCGTTCCCCCCATGACCTCTCCACATTGCATGCAGGTACCAGTCAGTGTTTGGTTCGGACTACTACCTAGAGGTGATGGGCCACGCCTGTACAGCATGCCACTCATGGTCCCCGGCTCCGTTCCGTTCCCCCCATGACCTCTCCACATTGCATGCAGGTACCAGTCAGTGTTTGGTTCGGACTACTACCTAGAGGTGATGGGCCACGCCTGTACAGCATGCCACTCATGGTCCCCGGCTCCGTTCCGTTCCCCCCATGACCTCTCCACATTGCATGCAGGTACCAGTCAGTGTTTGGTTCGGACTACTACCTAGAGGTGATGGGCCACGCCTGTACAGCATGCCACTCATGGTCCCCGGCTCCGTTCCGTTCCCCCCATGACCTCTCCACATTGCATGCAGGTACCAGTCAGTGTTTGGTTCGGACTACTACCTAGAGGTGATGGGCCACGCCTGTACAGCATGCCACTCATGGTCCCCGGCTCCGTTCCGTTCCCCCCATGACCTCTCCACATTGCATGCAGGTACCAGTCAGTGTTTGGTTCGGACTACTACCTAGAGGTGATGGGCCACGCCTGTACAGCATGCCACTCATGGTCCCCGGCTCCGTTCCGTTCCCCCCATGACCTCTCCACATTGCATGCAGGTACCAGTCAGTGTTTGGTTCGGACTACTACCTAGAGGTGATGGGCCACGCCTGTACAGCATGCCACTCATGGTCCCCGGCTCCGTTCCGTTCCCCCCATGACCTCTCCACATTGCATGCAGGTACCAGTCAGTGTTTGGTTCGGACTACTACCTAGAGGTGATGGGCCACGCCTGTACAGCATGCCACTCATGGTCCCCGGCTCCGTTCCGTTCCCCCCATGACCTCTCCACATTGCATGCAGGTACCAGTCAGTGTTTGGTTCGGACTACTACCTAGAGGTGATGGGCCACGCCTGTACAACATGCCACTCATGGTCCCCGGCTCCGTTCCGTTCCCCCCATGACCTCTCCACATTGCATGCAGGTACCAGTCAGTGTTTGGGTCGGACTACTACCTAGAGGTGATGGGCCACGCCTGTACAACATGCCACTCATGGTCCCCGGCTCCGTTCCGTTCCCCCCATGACCTCTCCACATTGCATGCAGGTACCAGTCAGTGTTTGGGTCGGACTACTACCTAGAGGTGATGGGCCACGCCTGTACAACATGCCACTCATGGTCCCCGGCTCCGTTCCGTTCCCCCCATGACCTCTCCACATTGCATGCAGGTACCAGTCAGTGTTTGGTTCGGACTACTACCTAGAGGTGATGGGCCACGCCTGTACAACATGCCACTCATGGTCCCCGGCTCCGTTCCGTTCCCCCCATGACCTCTCCACATTGCATGCAGGTACCAGTCAGTGTTTGGTTCGGACTACTACCTAGAGGTGATGGGCCACGCCTGTACAACATGCCACTCATGGTCCCCGGCTCCGTTCCGTTCCCCCCATGACCTCTCCACATTGCATGCAGGTACCAGTCAGTGTTTGGTTCGGACTACTACCTAGAGGTGATGGGCCACGCCTGTACAACATGCCACTCATGGTCCCCGGCTCCGTTCCGTTCCCCCCATGACCTCTCCACATTGCATGCAGGTACCAGTCAGTGTTTGGGTCGGACTACTACCTAGAGGTGATGGGCCACGCCTGTACAACATGCCACTCATGGTCCCCGGCTCCGTTCCGTTCCCCCCATGACCTCTCCACATTGCATGCAGGTACCAGTCAGTGTTTGGTTCGGACTACTACCTAGAGGTGATGGGCCACGCCTGTACAACATGCCACTCATGGTCCCCGGCTCCGTTCCGTTCCCCCCATGACCTCTCCACATTGCATGCAGGTACCAGTCAGTGTTTGGTTCGGACTACTACCTAGAGGTGATGGGCCACGCCTGTACAACATGCCACTCATGGTCCCCGGCTCCGTTCCGTTCCCCCCATGACCTCTCCACATTGCATGCAGGTACCAGTCAGTGTTTGGTTCGGACTACTACCTAGAGGTGATGGGCCACGCCTGTACAACATGCCACTCATGGTCCCCGGCTCCGTTCCGTTCCCCCCATGACCTCTCCACATTGCATGCAGGTACCAGTCAGTGTTTGGTTCGGACTACTACCTAGAGGTGATGGGCCACGCCTGTACAACATGCCACTCATGGTCCCCGGCTCCGTTCCGTTCCCCCCATGACCTCTCCACATTGCATGCAGGTACCAGTCAGTGTTTGGTTCGGACTACTACCTAGAGGTGATGGGCCACGCCTGTACAACATGCCACTCATGGTCCCCGGCTCCGTTCCGTTCCCCCCATGACCTCTCCACATTGCATGCAGGTACCAGTCAGTGTTTGGTTCGGACTACTACCTAGAGGTGATGGGCCACGCCTGTACAACATGCCACTCATGGTCCCCGGCTCCGTTCCGTTCCCCCCATGACCTCTCCACATTGCATGCAGGTACCAGTCAGTGTTTGGTTCGGACTACTACCTAGAGGTGATGGGCCACGCCTGTACAACATGCCACTCATGGTCCCCGGCTCCGTTCCGTTCCCCCCATGACCTCTCCACATTGCATGCAGGTACCAGTCAGTGTTTGGTTCGGACTACTACCTAGAGGTGATGGGCCACGCCTGTACAACATGCCACTCATGGTCCCCGGCTCCGTTCCGTTCCCCCCATGACCTCTCCACATTGCATGCAGGTACCAGTCAGTGTTTGGTTCGGACTACTACCTAGAGGTGATGGGCCACGCCTGTACAACATGCCACTCATGGTCCCCGGCTCCGTTCCGTTCCCCCCATGACCTCTCCACATTGCATGCAGGTACCAGTCAGTGTTTGGTTCGGACTACTACCTAGAGGTGATGGGCCACGCCTGTACAACATGCCACTCATGGTCCCCGGCTCCGTTCCGTTCCCCCCATGACCTCTCCACATTGCATGCAGGTACCAGTCAGTGTTTGGGTCGGACTACTACCTAGAGGTGATGGGCCACGCCTGTACAACATGCCACTCATGGTCCCCGGCTCCGTTCCGTTCCCCCCATGACCTCTCCACATTGCATGCAGGTACCAGTCAGTGTTTGGTCCAGACTACTACCTAGAGGTGATGGACCACGGGCGCATTGACTTTGGTAGCGGCTACGATGTCAACGCCAAGATCAACCGTGCACTGCTGCACCTGTCCCAGCAGACGGTGAGGGGGATGGGGGGGGAGGGGGATGTGTAGGGAGGGAGATGGGCCAGTCCTGAGGCTAGGTCAGGTCAGGGTGATGCCGATTGGGGAGGATGCAGGGTGAGGGAGCAGGAGTCTATGGAATGTTGGTATAGGAGTGCCAGTGCCCTGATGCTCGTGCCTCGTGTCCTCACTCACCTGCACTGAGTAAGTACTCTATCAATTGTCTTATGTTTGCTTCAAGAATCATTTGTCCTTTCCCCCACTTGGCAACCCATCACTCCCTTCCATCCCCTCCACTTTCGGTCCCCATTCCTCCCACCTTCGCCCGCATTTCCGCCACTTTTGCCCCGCATTCCTCCCACCTTCGCCCCGCATTCCTCCCACCTTCGCCCCGCATTCCTCCCACCTTCGCCCCGCATTCCTCCCACCTTGCCCCTGGTGGCCACCAACGACTCTCACTTCACCCGGGCTGCGGACCACGGGGCGCACATTCTTCCTATCCCCCCCCCCTTCTCCCCCCATTTCCCCCTCTTGCACCTTCCCTTCCCTCTACCCCACCCAGGGCGTGCCCCTGGTGGCCACCAACGACTCTCACTTCACCCGGGCTGCCGACCACAGGGCGCACCAAACACTCGTCTCTGTCAAGGTCTGTGCCCTTGGGTTCTGCGTTGCTACAGCAACCTCTGTGAGGCCAGAGAATTTTGTAAAATGATTTCTTGTGTTCTTCTTGCATGTCCATATTCGTGCCTGTGTGATAATGTATCCCTCACTCTCCCTCTCCTGCTTGCGTGTGCATTGCAGGCAGGGAAGAATCTTGTCCAAGCATATACGTGAGTCGCCTGCCTCCGTGTGTAGCAGTAATCATAATCTCTTTCACTTCCACCACTCATTTGATTCTTCAAAATTACGCAAGCGAATCTTGTTCTTCTTAGCTAATCCGTGGCTGGACTCCTTCTAACAGAACGTTTCAATCTGCCGTATCCCAATCCGCACATCACATCACATCACATCACATCACATCACATCACATCACACGACATGACATCAGGGGACAAGAGTATGTGAAGTCGCCAGAGGAAATGCTGGAGAGTTTGCAGAGGACTCTCCCTGAGGATCAAGCTTTGGAAGCCCTTCAGAACTCCGTGCGCATTGCTGATAAGGTGAGGAGGAGTGTCTGTCGCATGACTTGGTGCGGCCGCCTGTCTGTCACTTGGCTATTGGGAAGATTTAAACTAAAGCTACCGAAGCAATGCTGGAGAGTCTGCGGAGGAGCATGCTGTGGTGGCAGCCCTTCAGAACTCCCTGCGCATTGCTTATAAGGTGAGGTTGCCTGTCTGTGACGTGGCTCCTGCATAAACCCATAGCCACTGATACAATGCTCCACAGCCTGCAAAGGACTCTCCCTCCCCCCTCGCCCCTTCCCCAGGTTGCCAGTGCCACCTACTCCATTTCTCCTCCAAGCACAAGCTGCGTCCCAAGTTTTTCTTGCGTCCCCCTCCTCTCCACTCGCCTCTCCCCCAGGTGACCTCCTACTCCTCCGACCTCTTCTCTAAGCCTAAACTGCGTCCTAAGCCCTTTCTGCGTCCTCCTCCTCCCCCCCCAACTCCCCTCCTCTCCTCTCGCCCCTCCCCTCCTCTCCACTCGCCTCTCCCCCAGGTGACCTCTTACTCCGCCGACCTCTTCTCCTCTAAGCCTAAGCTGCCCACCTTTGACGTGCCTCCCGGCCACACCGATGCTTCATGGCTTGAGGTGCGAGCATGAGGGGATGGACGGAAGTGAGCGCGGGGGTGAGGGAAGATGGGAGCGAGAGGGATGAGGGGATGTGCGAAGCTTCCCACCTTGATCATGATTCGTGCCTCCGAGCTTCTCAGACACATCTTGATCAAGGTAGGGACACTTGAGGTCGATGACGGGGGCCAGGTCATGACAAGGAGGGGGCGATGCAGTGGCAAGAGAGGAAGAGGAGGGGAGAGGAGAGGGGAAGCGTCGTTTCAATGGTTGTCATGTTGAATTGCTGTCGGTTTGATTTGCTTTGCTGTACTGACTGTGGTACTCCATTCCCACAAATTTCCATTCCATGTGTGTGTGCGCGGTGTGGCATCAGAATGAGGCACGGAGGGGGCTGCAGGCAGTGATGGGCGTGGAGACGTGGGAGGCAGTACCCCAGCAGTACAGGGAGCGACTAGACTTGGAACTCAGGGTCATTTGCAACTATGGCCTCTCCGCCTACTTCCTCGTATGTCCTCTTTTCTTGCTGCAGCTCCGCTTCCTTCTGTGTATGGCCGCCGTTCTTCTCGTCCTATAAGCAAATGTTTTATAGGTGACGCGACAACACCATCCCAAGCGAATGTTCTCCTCTATCTTGACCTCGCACATCCCACCGTTCCTTTGTTCCCCACCCTTCCGTTCCCCAACCCTTGGCAAACCTCTGGAGCAGATAGTGGCAGATATCATCCAGTTTGCCCGCAAGAACGACATTCCTGTGGGCCCAGGCAGGTGAGGCGGGGCAGGGAGGGAGAGGGATTGAGCAAGCCAAATCTCGGATTTTCACGTGGATGAGGGCATAATGTTCTGTGCTCGGACTGGTCATCGTGTCTGAACATTATTGTCAGAGTGTTAATCCGCTTGGTCTCTCCTCTTGTCTCTCCCTCTCTCCCCTCACAGTTCCGCGTTCCCCATTTCCCCCCTCCCGCTCCAACTCGTACCCCTCAGGGGGTCAGCAGCGGGATCCCTGGTGGCATACGCCCTCGAAATCATCTCCATCGACCCCATCGAGCATGGTGAGTGAGTGAACATTGTCACGGAGGTATTTTGGTTGTGGTCCTTTCATCAACTCGTTAGGCGCCTCTCGCCTTTCCCCCTCTAACGGCCCCCGAGGCGATTAGCAGTAGGGTCGCTGGAAGCATACGCCTTGGATGTTATCTGTATTGATCCCATCCCGCTCCCCACCCGTTTCGCCCTTCTTTCGCCACACTTTTCTGCCTCTTCTCTTCACAGGGCTGTACTTCGAGCGCTTTCTGAACGAGGAGAGGCTGGCGCCTCCCGATATTGACTCCGATTTCTGTCCCCTCGGGCGCGATAAGGTGGGTGCGCTGCGGTGGAATGCGGTGCCTGCTGTAAGGCGGTGAGTGGAAAAGGTGACGAGGAGAGGCTGGCGCCTCCCGATATTGACTCCGATTTCTGCCCCCTCGGGCGCGATAAGGTGGGTTCTTTGGCATGATGTGGTTGCTGTGATGTGGTGTGTGGTGCTGTGAGGTGGTGTGTGGTGGAGGTTGAATCCATACGAGGATTTCTGCTCATTCGTAGTGTGCGCATATGGAGTGCTGATACAGCAGATAACAGGCACGTTCAGCTGCGGGAACAAGGGTAATCAAAGCACAACACAATGACACGTACTGCCTCCTCCACTTGCACGTGATCACAGCAGATGCAATTCCTTGCCCCCCTCTCACTGCTGCACCCCGTCTCACTGCTGCACCCTGTCTCACTGCCCTTTGCCTGTCCCTGTCAGATCCTGGCATACATCACTGAGAAGTACGGCGCGCACAGGGTGGCACAGATCATCACGTTCAACCGCATGGCACTTATACACACTCCCATTCACATTCTCATTCCCACCTTCTTCGCCTCCCTGCCTCTCCCCGTCAGATCCTGGCATACATCGCTGAGAAGTACGGCGCTCACAGGGTGGCACAGATCGCCACGTTCAACCGCATGGCCATCTGAACACCCGCACTCACACTCACACTCCCACCATTCCCGCCCTTGCACCCTGCACCAGATCCTGGCATACATTGCAGAGAAGTACGGCGCGCACAGGGTGGCACAGATTGCAACCTTCAACCGCATGGGGTCGCGTGCTGTGCTCAAGGACGTGGGGTGCGACATGCAGATTCCCCTTAACATCATGAACGAGCTTACCAAGCTGGTGAGATGGGATGAGTATGAGAGGGGATTGAGTAAAGGGTCGGTGGTTCAACCGCATGGGGTCGCGTGCTGTGCTCAAGGACGTGGGGCGCGACATGCAGATTCCTTTGAACGTTATGAACGAGCTTACGAAGCTGGTGAGAGGGGGATAACGAGAGGGGTGCAAGTGTGAATGGTTTGATGCGTTGATGTACTGTGAGTGAAGGACGTGGGGTGCGACATGGAGATTCCTTTCAACCTGCTGTACGAACTTACGAAGCTGTGAGTGAGAGAATGGGAGAAGGTAAAGCAAGGTGTGGGACATGGGGCGAGACATGGCAATTCCAATGAACATCCTGACAACGGGGGTGCGTAATGGTAACGGGGGTGCGTAATGGTAACGGGGGTGCGTAATGGTAACGGGGGTGCGTAATGGTAACGGCGGTGCGTAATGGTAATGGGGTGCGCATGGTAATGGGGTGCGTAGTGGTAATGGGGTGCGTAATGGTAACGGGGGTGCGTAATGGTATTGGTGTGCGTAATGGTAATGGGGTGCGTAATGGTAATGGTGTGCGTAATGGTAACGGGGGTGCGTAATGGTATGTGAAATAACGAGGAATGAATTGACTAAGGGAAAGTTGGGTACAAAAGCAAACCCTAGAAAACTGTACCCCATATGTGCTACCCCACTATAGCCTACAGTAGCTATGTCATATAAATCTGACACACCCCCATAGGCAAAGTGGGGGAGAACAAGGGGTCACAAGACCAGTCAAGCAAAGCAAAGCAAGCTCAGGGTGGATCACAAAGTCACCACACATTCCGAGCACAAGTTCAAGGCCACAAGGCCAGTTCACATGCAGGATTGCATATATATATAAGGCTAGACAAGCAAGAGCAGGTGTATATATATATGCAACAGTACAAACAAGGTCAAGGGGTGAGCAAGTGAGGCAAGGCAGGCACAAGACCCAGCTGAGTACAGAAGCGCTGATGATCACAAGGCGGGAGTGCCTTGGTGAAGATATCAGCAGTGTTGGCCTCAGAGGCCACGTACGCAAGCCGCAGCTGACCACGCTACTGTAGCTCACGAGCAAGGAAGTAGCGGAGAGCAATGTGCTTCGTTCTGTGCTCCAGTCTCTGCTCTCGACACAAGGCCAGCATGGCCTTGTTGTCTACGTACAGCACTGGAGGAGAACGAGGCGGCTCTCCGAGGTCAGTCAGCAGGTAGGTGAGCCAGCGAAGCTCCTGTGCAGCCATGGCACCGGCGTAGATCTCAGCCTCACAACTGGAGCCGAGAACAGAAGACGAGCGGGTAGCCCGCCACGAAACAGAGCCGGAACCAAGGCTGAAGGTGTAACCCTGTGACGACCGCTGCGTAGCCTGGTCGTCAGCCCAAGAAGCGTCTGCGTGCCCAGTGAGGACCACTGGACTCTGCCCTCCAAGCACAAGCCCCATGCCCGACGTACTGCACAAGTAGCGCAACACCCTCTTCGCTGCAGCCATGTGCTCCGGTCTGTGTCTCCCAGGAGCAACATAGCGTGCAAGAATGCTAAGAGGGTATGCAAGGTCAGGTCGTGTGCAGGTCATCAGGTACATGAGGCAGCCAACAAGCTCTGGGTACGGGCCACTCGACTCTACGGACTCATCCGAAGGCAGAGCTGAGAGCGAGTGGCGAGTAGGCAGAGGAGTGGCCTGAGGCGAGGAGTACGTGAAGCCGAAGCGCTGAAGGACCTGCTGCACCATGTGTGACTGAGTCAGGGTAATGGTGTGGTGTGCTCTGTCCCGGGTGATCTGCAAGCCAAGGTAGCTGCGCAGTTCACCCAGGTCTGTGCACGTGTGTCTCTTCTGCAGCTCGGACTTCACGTGGGCGAGTCCAGCAGTGTCAGCTGTGGCGAAGACCAAGTCGTCGACGTACACGAGGATGTAGAACGGCGGCAAAGAAGTGTCGGTGCGCAGAAACAGCGACGGGTCGGCAGTAGAGGGAGCAAACCCAAGAGCCGCAAGCGTAGTCCTCAGTGTGTCGTGCCACTCACGCGGTGCCTGGCGGAGACCGTAGACTGGCCGCCGGAGGCTCCACTGGGTGCCAGGAGGAAAGGACCCAGTGAAGCCAGGTGGGCGACGCAGCCAGATCTCCTCGTGCAGGCTGCCCTGCAAGAAAGCAGTGCTGAAGTCAAGAGAGTGCAGCTCGTAGTCGCGGTGAGCAGCTATGTGCAGCAGTACCCGAAGAGTGGTCATCTTCGGGGTGGGAGAGAAGGTCTGAAAGTAGTCAACTCCCTGCCGCTGACTGAAGCCACGAGCCACGTAACGCGCCTTGAAGACAGGCGGAGAACCCGGCGGCCGCTTCACCGTGAAAATCCACATGCCACTGACGATGTTCGCCCCAGGCGGGGGAACCTCGTCAACGTAGGTGCCTGTGGACTTCCAGGAAGCCATCTCTGCGTCCATAGCTGCCTGCCACTGAGAGGAGTAGGGACCCTCTATCGCCTCCGCGTAAGAGCGCGGAGTCGGGATGTCAAGTGCATCCGGGTCTCCCTCAGGGGTAAGCAGTACGGACACGAGATGAGGTGAAGCAGTAGCTAAACACTGGAACTCCTCCTGCCTGTCCTCAAGGACGTCCGTGCCAAGGGCACACTCACCCCCGACGGACGGAGGACAGACAGACTCAGACTCAGCGACAAGACTAGCAGCGTAGTCTAGACGACAGCGAGCAGCAAAGTCGACGAGCTCAGCAACTAGGGCAGACGCAGCAGTGGACTCAAAGGAAGGGTCACTGAGAACAGTAGCAAGGAGACGCGTGACAGTAGGACTGGCAGCACGAAGAGAATCCGACTCCGGGTCAGGAAGAGCAGGAAGAGAGGACTCAGGAGGAGAAGGCAACGGGGCACGCAGAGGAGCAGTGGACGGACGCAGAGACATCCGGTGCGTGCCAGGGACAGGAGGAGGACGCTGACGCGAACCACGACCACTAGTGCGAGCAGCACGGACAGGCGACGCAGGGCGAGACGCAGGCTCACGACGCTCAGCAAGACCTCCAGTAGGACCAGCGTAGGGAGAAGGAGCGGGCAGTGGGGAGGCCGGCTGTAACTGTAACTGTGACGGGACAGGCTGTGGACACTCTAAGGGAGGAGGAGGACCAGTAGAAGGCGGGAGACCAAGAACCTGCTGAAGGAGTGGAACGAAGTACGGCCGAGGCCGCGCGGCGACTCCAGACACAGCAGGGACAGCACCAGTACCCCCAGCGGCAGCACCAGCGCCAGCAGCACCTCCATCTCCAGTACCTCCAGCAGCACCAGTAGCACCCCCAGCAGGACCGCCTCCAGGACCGACAGCAGTAGCCTCAGCGCCAACACCATCAGCAGCTCCAGCTCCAGTCGTACCCGCAGGCCCAGCAGCTCCAGTACTCCCAGTACGAGCACCTCCGGGACCCGCGGCACCAGTACCCTCAGCAGCCGAAGAACCTCCAGCTCCAGCAGCACGCCTCCAGCGCCGGGCAAACCACTCGCGCAACTCCTGTGGAGAGAGTGGCTGCCGCCGAGACGAAGCACCCGGAGAACCTCCAGGCTCAGCACCGCCAGACGCCACACGAGCAGGCCCAGCTCCCTCAGGCTCCGCACCCCCAGGCTCAGCACCTCCAGGCATAGCACCCCAAGGCTCAGCACCCCCAGGCGTAGCACCCCCAGGCTCAGCACCCCCAGGCTCAGCACCCCCAGTAGTAGCACCCCCAGGCTCAGCACCCCCAGGCTCAGGACCCCCAGTAGTAGCACCCTCAGGCTCAGCACCCCCAGGCGTAGCACCCACACGCTCAGCACCCCCAGAGTCAGCACCCCCAGGCTCAGCACCCTCAGCAGCACCAGAGTCACCAGTAACCTCGACAGGCTCGACTGCGTCTACCTGGGACACACCTGAAGGGGCAGGACCCTGAGGGGGGAGGGGGTCTACCGGGGGGGGACCTGGCACAAGGAAGAGCGGTGGCGGGGGGAGGGACGGAGTGCGGTAGGGGAAGAGGCGGTAGTAGGGGACCGACTCGTCAAACGTGACGTCCTGGGAGGACAGAACACGGCGAGAGGTGGGGTGGTAGAACTGCCACCCTGGCGCGTCAGGGGGGAAGCCAAGGAAGACGCAAGGAGCAGCACGAGGGGACAGCTTGTCCGCAGACAAGTCGCGGACAAACGCCCGAGATCCCCAGACACGGAACGCAGACGCATCGCCAACCTTCCCCGTCCACAGCAAAGCTGGGGAGGTCTCCGGCATGGAGACCCTGGGGTGAAGGTTGATCTGATACGCCGCGTACCGAACCGCAAACGGCCACAGAAAATGGGGGGCAGCCGCATGCATCATGGACGTACGGGCGACGTCCATGACCATGCCAATGCGGCGCTCAGCAATCCCATTTTGCTGTGGAGAGTCCGGAAGCGTGAAGGTCTGGCGGATGCCTCGTGCACGACAGTAGGCTCGCAGAAGGCCAGAGGAGAACTCTCCACCTCTGTCAGAGTGCAGACGCAGAACAGGAAAGTCCGAGCCGAAGCTCTGCCTGAGCTGGAGACGAGCTGCGCGGATCCAGTCGATCAACACCTCAGTGACATCACCCTTGCTGCGCAAGGGGAAGACTGTGGTGTAACGCGAGTAGTCGTCAACCACCAGCAGGAAGTAGCGCTCGTGACCCTGTCCACGGACGCGGGCCGGGCCCCACACGTCCATGTGAAGCGTCTGCAGCGGGGCCTCTGTCGGAGGAAACTGGGAGGAGTGAGGGGCAGCCCGCTGCCGCCCCTCGACACAGGGGACGCAGGTAGGGCCAGGCCCCGGAGGAAGGGGAGGGAGGGACCGGGGAAGACCAGAGACAAGGACACGGGAGGCCATGCCTCGGAGACGAAGCAGGGAGGGGTGACCAAGGCGGTGGTGCCAGAGGAGAGTCTCGTGAGACAGAAGGCGACACGAACAGGGGGCAGACTCAGGACCAGACCTGGACGCTGCAGCAAACACCTGACCCGACGCAGCGACCTGACCAGACGCAGTGACTGGAGGAGACGCAGTGGTCAGTGTGTACAGGCTCGACCCCGGCCGACGTGTAAACGTGGCCAGGTGTCGGCCTGTCCGAGCGTCCGTACAGTGGGTCACCCGCTGACTCGCAGGAGTGAACTGGTGAACCCCCGCATCCTGTAGGTCAGCACCACTCACCAAGTTCGTAGAGAA